GGAGGGTTTATTCATACCAACAAGAGCAGCAGCAGCAACAGCAGCAGCAACAGCAACAGCAGCAGCAGCAACCAATATATCACAATGTATATCCCTATCCAGCACACCAACACCCTCGTCTATCTCCCCTTTAGCGGTATCACAGCACCGGGGGCCCCCCACCAGGGGCCCCCCGCCCCAGGGGCCCCCCAGGGGGCCCCCCCCGCTCTGTACCCTCAAGGTTCAGGGGCCCCCCACCAAGTAGATGGGGCCCCCCTGGGGGCCCCCCCTGCCGGAGACGGGGGCCCCCCCCAGGGAGATGGGGGCCCCCTGGGGGCCCCCTCCCTGGGGGGCCCCCTGGGGGGCCCCCTTGGGGGCCCCCTTGGGGGCCCCCTGGGGGGCCCCCTTGGGGGGCCCCCACAGAACGAGGGGGGCCCCCTGGGTAGCAAGGATATTTGTTTTGTGCGGGAGATGCTGAGGAGAGAGGTTTGCTGCTTGAAGGGGTGGCTGGGTGTTGCTGTTGGGTGCTTCTGCTGCAGTTTGTTTAGCTGCTACGAAGAGGTACTGGTGGATAGCTACTGCTGCAGCAGCAGCCTGCTGTATCCGCATGCAGATGCATGCAGCAGCAGCAGCAAGAATATAGATATTCATTTATTAGATAGAGCTGCTGCTGCTAATCATCTATCCACCTTTTGTTATACACCCCATCTTGCTGCTGCTCCTCGTGTCCGTCCCCCCGCTGCTGCTGCTGCTGCTGCTGCTGCAGCACCAGCAGCAGCAGCAGCAGCAGCAGCAGCAGCTGCTGCTGCTGCTGCTGCTGCTGATGAAGACCCAGAAGAAGACAAACCCTGCTGGCGAGGGGACTGGAGGGTTCGTGTTGCTGCTGCTCTATCCTCTTATTTTTTGTTTAGGGGGCTGCATGCAGCAGACAGCAGCAAACGCAAGCTGCTGCTGCTGCAGGCAGCAGAATGGAAAGACAAAGCAGCAGCAGCAGCAGGCCTCGCAGAGGCAACCAAAAGCAGCAGCAGCAACAGCAGCAGCAGCAGCAGCAGCAGCGGTACTACTACTACAGCTACAACAACAACAAGCAGCAGCAGCAGCAGCAGCAGCAGCAGCAAGACACCAGACATGCAGCTGCTGCGGCTCAAAGACCCTGACTTTCTCTGTTTGCTGCTGGATGGAATGATGGCGGTTGCTGCTGCAGTGCTGCAGGGGCCTGGTGGTGACGTAACAGCAGCAGCAGCAGCAACAGCAGCAGCAGCAGCAGCAGGAGCAGGAGCAGCAGCAACAACAGCAGGG